CCCTCCTAGCTGGTGGTACGAAACTCAGAAGCGGGGGCCGACACTCCTCCTGTTCCACCTAAATGATGCTCCTTTTTAAGTAGCAAATTCTTAAGTATCTGAAGCATGCATATTTTGAAATAACTGCATGCGTATTTTGAAATGCTCACATTATTTCAAAATAACAGAGTGCGCATCTACATAGCAAGCCCTTTATTTCAAAATAACGGGCTTCTTGCTCTGAGTTCTGTAGCTCTCATTTCACAAGGAGTAAGGGAAGTTGAAAGAAAGAGTATTCTTCCTTCAACTTCCTGCTGTGTAGACAGCACCAAAAGTTGAGTTATTTAATAACATAGCTGAAGTTGTGTATTTAACTCAACTTTAGCCCTCGTTGTAGACATACCCCAAGTCTCTTAAATTCTCTCTCTTTTTTTCTGTCTCTTTTCCTTTTCATATCACCTAGTTAACTCCTTTACCCATTTTATTCTTACGCACGATGTGTAGTGGGCCACAGCTTGAAATAGTTGGGATAAACTTCTATTTGGAGAATTATTCTGTTTTGTTTTGACTGGAGCCTTTCTAGATAAATCTTATTGTTTACAGTTACTGCATGCAAGATGAAGCGTTGGTCACAGAAATATGGTCTGGATTACAAGGCTTGATTATTTATTTTGTTTCATTTGTAAAATATTAATAAATAATGTTCCAAATGATATTCAGATATATTAGGACTATATAGATAGTTCTGTATATATTATGGTGATAGCATTAGAATTACTCAGTATGTGAAAAACAGATAACCAAGAATAAAGTTGTTAAATTATATAAACACAAAATCCCTAATCTGTTTTATAGAAGTTAAATTCACTACTATAACAAGGATCAGCACTCAAAGAAACCTCATATAATTGTTGCAGTCTGCTAAATTTGGCAGATGTTATTCGTTGTTGAAAATAAATTACTGGAAAGAACCAAGAAAGAAAATCAAAAGCCCAGAGTAATAAGTAATAAAAGTAGATCTTTCTTTTATCGTTGTCATGCTTAAAAACAAAAGACTTCAAAGATTTAGGCTTTTGCCCCTTTTTTTGCTTCTTATGGTATAGGAAAAAACCCTGAAACATGTTATAAAGAGTTTGGTTTATTTATTTGTTTGGCATTTTTTGTTTTTTGTTTTTGGGAGGTTTTTTCCTATTTATTTTTCACCTCAGAAAAATTGGGACAGTGATGTCTAATATTCATTGGGTTTTGTTAGAATCACTGGTAGTTCTCACATGTTCTGTGAGCTGTAACATGTTACCTAAAGGTATGGATGTGCAGAATATTTTGCAGAGTTTTGCTTTATTTAGAATGCAAGTCATTGAAATTAGTATGTGATAATAAAAATAAATATTGCAATATATGTATACATATAGGAATGTGTTTTAATGAAGTCAGACAGCAGAGTTTTAAACAATCCAGCTAAACAATGCTTCTCCACTAAATTACGTAAATTCTTTAAGAAAAATCTGTTAGCTAATGTTCCATTTCTTATAATCTGAACTTTGAATGAAAAAACCAAGCAGAATTTTAAAAAACACACACCAACCAACCCATCAGCAACAAAAATTTTCAGGATGCTGATTTTTTCTCCCTTCACAGATAACTTTTAAACTATAAAACTCCTATAAGTTCCTGATAAAGCTTGGTATGCAAATTGATTGTGTGAACACTAAACATGGCGAAGGGCATGTATTTTACTCAGTTATTCATTGGAATGTTCTAATAACATGTTTTATTTAGAACACAGAAAGAATTACATTTCTGTACCAAAAATATTGCAGCACACAGCATGCAGGTTCACAAACTGTGTTGAAGTGTTAGCTTTGGAAATTGTCAGAGAAAGATAGAAATAAGATTATTATTAAGCTTTTTTTTACTAGTGTCTACATGTAACATTTTGGTGAATAGACCACTGAAAATATACATATGTCTTTCAAACATCAGAATTTACAAGCTTGTCAATTATATTTTCATAGGCCTCTCCTGCTTAAGTACAGTTGATTTTATTTAATCTAGGAAGAAGAAAGGCGCATGGCATCTGTTGCAGCAAGAAAAGAGGAAGAGAAGAAGCGGGAAAGCCACAAACAAATGTTGCTAAAGGTATTTTCTGTGTTCTTTCTAATACTGATTAAGATTGAATACAATGTCATACAATACTTGTATTGACAATAATAATATAGATTCTGTAATCTTGGTGCTGAAGTTTAAAAAGACACTGCCTCCTTTAATTAAAAGTTACTTTTATTATTAACCTCAAGAAAATGAGACATGTATGATAATAAGTCAAAACTGACATGATATCAGTTCTTCTTGGATGTGGAGCTTGTCAAAAACAGTTTGTGGCAGCCTCATCAGTAAAGTGCAGAGCCCTCAGACCACCATCAAATCTGGTCAGAATACAGTCGTCAGTGTTGACTGTCCTTGGCCACAGCTTTTCATTGGCTCCAGGTGAGAAGGCTGGTTCACACTGACTTGGGCCCATTTGAAATGTGTTCAGAGAGCCCCTGAGCAGCAAGGCAAATCAAAGCTGAGTACTTGCTCAGTTATAAGAATTGGTTTCTGACATCACATGCAAATCATTTGTCATGCCGTATTGAAACCTGGGCAAGGCAAGAGGGTCCGCAGCAGGGGCCATGATGAAAAGTGAGCTTTTGAGTGGTCAAACAGATCCGTTTTGCCGTGATTTTCTCAGCAGCTCTAGAGGTAATATCCTCGCGATGGATTGGGGAGGAGTGATGTTTAACATGGGGAACCACAGTACCGTTGTGGGTCAGATTATCCCAGTTCTGGTGCCTGTTGTTGACTGCAGTGTGTCAGCCAACCAACGAAACAAATGGAGCCTGACCAGAACACAATCTTCTACTGCAGAGTAACAGAGGTTACTGGATGCTCATAGATTTTGAGCATTAGCATCCTGTGAAGTGCCAGCCTGTTTGCTTAAAGGATTGTAACTTCTGCTCAGCTCAATCACAGTTTTCCAAGCTATGTGAGAGATCTGTCTAGTGAGGCAGTGGAGTATGTGGGATTCGTGTTTCAAGTGATATCTATTAAGAAGGGTAATCAATTCTTGATCTTCTCTGTCCCTGTAAAAAAAAGAAATACATGCAAAACTGTCTTGATCATGCTTGGTTGTAAATGCCACTGACTGTAGTATTCAGCCATCTCAATCAAATCAGCATTTAAGGCATCTTCAAGTTTTGGAAATGGTCATACTTGAATGCTGCCTTAAACAAATGTCATCTGTGTATGTGTAGTTGCAGGACAGGGTAAAAAGCATAAGTTTGTGTATAGGTTGAAATGGATTGGTTTGTGTTTTCTTTTTTGTTAACTCCGTCTCTTATGTCCACTTGGAAACTTCTGTTGTGGGAGAGAATGTCAATGACATGTATGCTGGGAGTATTCTTGACATTTCGACTAAGAATCTGGTGTCATCTGCTGCTGTCAGGTTCAGAACTACAGGTCCTATCTTCAGAGGTTTTTTGAAAACCAATTTTCATGAGTGTTGTCAAAGTTACCATTTGCTTTTAGGTGCTGCAGTTTTTCTTGCACAGCCCGAGGGGGATCTCTGAGAGAATTTTCAGGGGTATGGAGCAGCTGGTTCATAGAGGACAGAGTCATAGCCCAACTTCCTCCATGCCCTTTTGGTTGGTCTTCCACCCCAGAGAATGCAAGTTAAGGGAATCAGTCTTTTATTCAGTGATGCACAGAGACTACAATTGTATCTGGCTGTTACATGAAAATATAAGGCTTCTCATGTCTGTGCACCCTGGACCATCCAGGCATAATCTGGCCCATGACTCACATTAAGGATGTTAAGAGGCAGGTAACTGGCTAATCGTGTAATTGATAAAATGACCGACTTTTTTATTGACTGCACAATTAGTCGATAAGGGAGGGTACTTAGTCCAGACTTATGCTGGGTCCAGGAGCTACTCCTGCTGTGGCTCTGCAGTTTAAATGTAGAAAGCTGGATTGCCTGCCCACCTGGCTGTTACTACAATTAAAATGCAGAAACAGAGTGGGGGTAGCACCCGGACCCAACGCAAGCCGGGACTGAGCTGGGTTTGCTCAGTCTCGAATTAGTCGATAAGGGAGGGTACTTAGTCCAGACTTATGCTGGGTCCAGGAGCTACTCCTGCTGTGGCTCTGCAGTTTAAATGTAGAAAGCTGGATTGCCTGCCCACCTGGCTGTTACTACAATTAAAATGCAGAAACAGAGTGGGGGTAGCACCCGGACCCAACGCAAGCCGGGACTGAGCTGGGTTTGCTCAGTCTCGGCTTGTCTGTGGAAGGAGCCTGCTGCCAGAGTAGCCTCTGCCCACAGCCAGACTGGGCCCACTGTGGGCAAAGGCTGCTTCGCAGCAGCCTCCCTTCGCTCCTGTCCCCCATGCTGCTGTCGCTAATAGAGGCAGAAAGCGGGGAGGGAAAGCAAGTAGTTAAGTTGACTAACAGATAAGGCTAGGCTTATCAGTTAGTCGATTAGTCGACTACTCACATCCCTAACTCACATCTAAGTCCAAACTTTTGAAAGTATATGCAGGCTTTTGCACACATAAGTTGATGTTATGCACACATGGAATTTTCTTTTCAACGTGTTGTCAGGGCTGTTCTCCATTCTGGCACTTTGAATGCAGAAGGTGGGGGCCTGCAAGGGAGCTTCAAAACCTTGCCTCTACAGGCAAAAACGCCCCCCCTAGAATCGCAATACACAGATTTTGGGGAATTTGCTGCCACCACCAAGTGCTTTTATCCCTAGAACCAGGGATGAACACTTGAAATCACCCCCAGAGTATCCCGAGCTCTTTTGCCCTGAAAGAGTTTGCAAAAAAGAAAAGAGAAAAACAAGCTGCAGTCTCTGGTAGCTGACACAGACAGACCTTCCAGGACACAAGAATCAAATTATCACCTTAAAATAAGTGATTTTTATTAGAAAACAAAAGATAAACTCAATAAAGCATACTTGGTTGCTAGATGTTACAGATCAACTGAGGAAACAGAATTAAAACCGAGAAAAAAACCTGGCATAAGGCTTACTTAGATGGTAAAGGGGGAGGGGAGGCATAGAATCACACAGAGCAGTTCAAACCAAACCACAAAATAAAGAGAAATTACCCTGAACACAACTGGATTTACATTTTCCTGTTACTTACTTCTGATTTTCAATTTGTTCAGTCCGCTCCGATGCCCTGAATTCTGTTGGGGCATGATGGTCCTGCCTGGGTTTAAATCATTCTGTGTATCTCAACTCCTGGTTTAACTCTCCCACACAAAGAAAGCAGGTAGGGAACCAATATCCAATTCAAATTTCAGCTTGCTATCTCGATTGTTTTTCCCGGCCCCCTGATCAATACCTTTGTTAGGTACCCGAGTTAACCCCTTAGTCACTGGGTACTGGTCAGCAATCCTCCTGTTCATGACACATATATATTGGGCATTATATGCTTTGGAAAATTTGTACTTTTATTTTACTAACTCTTGTGTTCCAAAAGGTTTAATTTAGCATATCTTAAACTGAGTCAAATGATTCTCCTCTCTCTGCTCACAACACATATAAAATTTGAAGCAGAAAGCCATTTTAGATGGGTTTAGACCATGGAGTAGCCAAAATATTAAAGACCCCACTAGCCATGTAAAAACTCCACCAACAAACTCTTCTAGCAATTACCAGTGGCATCACCAGTGGACCTCATAGACCAGAACTCTGCAGTACTCTGTAGAGGAGTTTACACAAGTGAGCATAGACGTTTGTAGTGGTACTGATGGGTATCCTTGAGAAGACTAAGGGTACGTCTAGACTACAGGGTTTTGTCGACAAAGCAGCTTGCTTTGTCGACAGAACTGAATGTAGTCTAGATGCTCTTTGTCAACAGAAGCTTTGTCGACAGTATCTGTCGACAAAATTTCAGTCGACAAAACCCTGTAGTCTAGACGTACCCTTAGTCTTCTCAAGGATACCCATCAGTACCACTACAAACGTCTATGCTCACTTGTGTAAACTCCTCTACAGAGTACTGCAGAGTTCTGGTCTATGAGGTCCACTGGTGATGCCACTGGTAATTGCTAGAAGAGTTTGTTGGTGGAGTTTTTACATGGCTAGTGGGGTCTTTAATATTTTGGCTACTCCATGGTCTAAACCAAATGTACCTTTGCATTAGAAAGGAAAGTGCTGAGGTTTATGGTAGTCTTTGTTGCTATGGAAGTCCATTCCACAGTCTTGGGCCAGCCCCCAGGAAATTTCCTGCACACAAATCTGTGCCCTTAATAGCTGTGCAAAATGAAGGCTCGCTAAAATTTCTCTGTCTGCAACATGAGAACTTTGGAATACCACTTCTGTTCCATTCTAGAATTTCAGCAAATGTTATAGGCATCAATGAGCATACGTCTGTTGATTTTTAGAGCACACTGGGCCAGTGAAGAAGCCTGATTCATGGAAAATTGAATCTACAGACTACTTGGTGCTGCAAGCAGAGGAATCCCTCATTTGCTTCTGCAGCTACTGATCAATGTCAGAGGTAGTAGTTTAACTCTCTGCAGAGGGAGATTTGTCAGTATCTTGAATTCTAACATAAATCAGATGGTCTTACAAGGAAGATTTGTAAGGAGGAAGTGAGGATCCAGGGTCAGGGGAAGTGGACTGATGTTGAGAAATGGGCACTGGAGGAAAAGGGGGGCATTAGAGGGCATGGAGAGAAAGCAGCAGGGACTGGAGGGATGAGGAAGTAGCGATAATGAAAGCAGAGTCCTGCTGGTGGTGGGATTGGAAGTGGCAGAAGCAGGGACCCAGGGAAGACTGAGGCACTGTGGTAGGGAAGCTGGGGCCCAGAGAATGGGAAGTGAGTGGATGAGGGATGACAAAGCAGTAACCCACAAGGGGCTGGGAAGGTAGAGTGGTGATGATAATGGAATTGGGGACCGAGGGGGAAGAACTGGGTAGGTGGGTGAGGAAGCTGGGACCCAGGATGAGAAGGAGAAAGTGGTAGTTTAGGATGGAGAATAGGGTGGGGGGAGAAGTGGGGACTGAAGAAAATGGGGATTTGTGATGTGGGGAACGGAATTGGAGAGGGAGAAATGAGGATTGCCACGGGGTGTGTCTAAACAGC